TGTGTTTAAATGGACAAAAAATTGCTTGATATTCCCCCAAAAAAAAAAAAAAAAAATCATTTGGTTTAATTTATTTTGAAAGCTAAGTTAGGAAAAAGTTGCATTCTATCTTTATAGAGTTCGTGAAATCTGCACCAGACATGCCATATATCACTGGGATTATTTGTTGAATTATCAATAGAAGGGAACTTGTAATTCTATCTTTAGAGTTCGTGAAATCTTACAACCTGAATGGGACTTGTAATTCTATAAATAATTTATTCAAGTTTGACCAACCAAAGGTGCCCTTACAATTTTGTTCAACCAGAACACTCCCTTAGACATTATTCTGTGCTGGAGTTTTATAGAAACTCTTTTAATAATAGTATATATTTATTAGGTAATTTGTAATTTGAATTTTATTAGGTAATTTCAAAGTGGTGATTGATTTTATTAGGTAATTTGAAAGTGGTGATTTGATTCTTATTTGATTCTAAGCTTGTTTTTATTTTTTTCATTGTCTCTTTGATGGTAAACATTTTTTACATTTTATAAGAGCATGTCTAACATATCTCTTTATCTATACATATATTTAAATTTGTTAGTCACACTTGAATGACATCCACACATAAACAAAATCAAAGAAGTTCGACAATAGAAAACATTATGCAAATTTTTCTACCGAGGAAAGACAGAAGAGGATCCACCAGTGATACTTGAAACATCTTTCCTGCCATGCTGCGTAACTATTGGATGAACCTCTCATTATATCTTAAGGCCTTCAATTATCATAGGCTTTTAATTCACTTATTTGCTTTGGTCATGACTAATGATACTGTTTTTGATATTTAGATCTGAAAACATTTATGAAACACTCTTTGACGGATTAAAGCAGAGATTGCGCTTTGAAATCTATACTCTTTCTATATATATATAAGTCTTTTTTTCCCTTCATCTAATAACATCAATTTTCATTCTCTTTCTATATATATAAAAGTCCCTTCCGTGAATTTTAATTTTTAGGTTTTGAAATCTATACTCTTTCTATACATAAGTCTTTTTTTCCCTTCATCTAATCACATCAAATTTCTGTTTTTTTCTATACTCTTTCTATATATATAAGTCTTTTTTTCCCTTTGTCTAATCACATCAAATTTCTGAATTTTAATTATTAGCTTTTGAATTTTATTAAGTAATGGACTGTTTTTATATTTTGTGTCTAACCCTTCCGTGAATTTTAATTATTAGGTTTTGAAATCTGTACTTTTTCTATATATATATAAGTCCCTAGAACGCATAGAATCTTGGAGACTTCAATTATCATATACTGATACACACACACACATACGTGCATGTCTATAGATGGCTTTATGGCTTTGTCCCAACTATACGAAAATCTGATGGTCGAACTAATATCTGACGAGGAAACTAAAATAAAATAAATAAAAAAAAAAGGAAAGAAAAGAAAATGTATGGCTTAGTATCTGATATTCCCACGGCTGGTATAATATATCAAAAAGGAAATAAAATAAAATGTATGATACGATTATTATGAGTTCATATGCATACGTACGTACAAAAATGCACTGCGATGAAGTATACAAAAATATTAATCTATACTCTTTTTATATATATATGTCTTTTTTTGCTTGATCTAATCACATCAATTTTCTGTAACTCATTAGCTATGTCTTCCTCATGCATTGTTTTATTATATATATTGCTACATTTAATGTATACAAAAATAAAAAAACCTAATCAATTGTCTTTCTCTTCTTCTTCTTATTATTAATCTTATGTTTTGATCATTCATTGTTTTATTATATATATATTGCTACATTTAATGTATACAAAAATAAAAAAAAAACCTAATTAATTGTCTTTCTCTTCTTCTTATTAGTCCAAGTTTTGCCAAGATCGAAGCCTTTTTTTGCAAGGTACGTGTCACCCCCATTCCCTATTGGTAGAGTAATTCATTAATTTTTTTATTTTATATATATATATATATATATATATATATATATATATATATATATTTGGATTGTAATTATAATTTTTTATTTATTAAATTTGAATATTGTTATTGTTCTCTCAACATAATAAATTTAATTGAATGTTTTTATTTTTATTATTTTTATTGTCTTTTTAATTAGTGCTAGCCATCTTTTACATTTTATACATATGTTTAAATTTGTTAGTCACCTTTGACTGCACCCACACATAAACAAAATCAAAGAAGTTAAGACAATATAAAATATTATGCAAATTTATATACTGAGGAAAGATAGAAGAGGATTAAAGAAGTAACAGATGCAGCCAAAAGAAAAAAAGTAGATGTCGAACAATCAACACATGTAGAAGAGTAAAGGAGTTTAGACAATAGAAAATACTATACAAATTTATCTACCGAGGAAAGACATGAGAGGATTAAAGAAGTCACATATGCAACCAAAAGAAAAAGGGAGATGTCAAACAATCAACACATGTAGAAGAGCAAAGGAGTTTAGACAACGGGAAATACTATACAAATTTATCTACCGAGGAAAGACAGAAGAGGATTAAAGAAGTCACAGATGCAACCAGAAAAAAAAAAGGCGACGTCGAACAATCAACACATGTAGAAGAGCAAAGGAGTTTAGATAACAGGAAATGTTATGCAAATTTATCTACTGAGGAAAGACACAAGAGGATTAAAGAAGTCAAAGATGTAGCCAAAAGAAAAAAAGGAGACGTCGAATAATCAACACATGTAAAAAAGCAAAGGAGTTCACACAATAGAAAATGTTATGTAAATTTATCTACTGAGAAAAGACAAAACAAAATTCAAGGTGTAACACATGCAAGAAAAAGAAGAAAGGGAGATGTGGGACAGTTATCCCATACTCCATCTCAAGCGTTAAAAAAGGTTCCAAGTTGTTCTCACTGTCTTGCAAAGAAATTTGAACACGAGCCTCTGACTTTTTGTTGCTCAAATGGCGATGTTGTCTTAACATCTACTCTTGTCCCAGATGAGTTGTACGAATTATTCACATCCCAAATGGATGCCTTTGCGAAGGACTTTCGTCGGTACATACGTGCATATAATAGCATTTTTTCTTTTACATCTTTTGGAATCCGTCTTGACAAAAATCTCGCAACTATGAAGAGTGGTATATATACTTTCCGAGCACAAGGTCAAATATATCATGAATTACCCTCACTCTCAATACAAGAAAGATCTCCATGTTACCTCCAATTATACTTTTATGACACTGACAATGAGTTACAAAATAAAATGAATATCTTAAATGACTCGAACTTGAGTGAACCTATTGTTGCAAAGTTGATGAACATATTGTCGTCAAATCCGTATGCTCAGTTCCTTCGTAGGTTAAAGGATATTCCCGTTTCAGATAACCATGAAATTGTCATTACAAATGATGTTCGACTTGATCAAAGGGTTTTCAATTCGCCCATAGTAAACCAAGTTGCAGCTGTTTGGATAGAAGGAGCATACCCTGACATGCGCTTAGAGCGTGACATAATTGTCATTGCACACTCCGGCAGAAAACACAGAGTGAGACACTATTTTAGATGTTATGATCCACTGCAATATCCTTTACTATTCCCATACGGTGAGATCGGATGGCATCGTAATATCAAGAATCGTCGTCAGCCATACGCTCGGACAGATATTACACATGATGATGATATCTTCGATGATTCCATTGTAACAGGATCTAGAGAAAGTAAATACAATTATTAATTTTCATTTATTTGTTTAAAAATAAAACTCTTATACAATTCAAAATATCAATTTTTTCTAACTCTTATACAAATTGAACATGTAGGTGCCGAAGAAAGGAAAGCTAAAAAAATTTCATGTAGACAATATTATTGTTACACGCTTCAAATCCACAACCAGGATCGATCAATTCTCTTTTATGCCGGGAGATTGTCGTAACAATATAGTGTTGATATGTATATTAAGATTGAAACAACACGTTTGGATTACTATCGAACTGAACAATCACATATTCGTGCCAAGTTATATCAAGGAATTGTTGATAGTGTTGTGGCCGGAGAAAATAGAGGAAATAATGTTCGGAAAAGAGTGGTTCTTCCTTCATCCTTCATCCTTCATTGGAGGGCATAGGGACATGCGAAAGAGATATTATGATGCGATGTGTTTGGTTCAAAGATTTGGAAAGCCAGACCTTTTCATCACAATGACCTGTAATCCTGATTGGAATGAGATCAAAGAGGAGCTGAAACCGGGACAGTTAGCTCAGGATAGACCAGATTTAACAACAAGGGTGTTTCGAGCAAAGCTATATGACCTTAAGAAACAATTATTTCAAAAACTCATATTTGGAAAAGTGGTTGCACATGTTTATGTGATTGAATTTCAAAAAAGAGGACTACCACATGCACACATGTTGCTTATATTTGAATCTGAGCATAAGATTACAAAAGCAGATCATTATGATAAGTTTGTTTGTGCCAAAATCACAAGTGAAAATGAGAATCCAACACTTTATGCTAAAGTAGTTAAACACATGATGTATGGGCCTTACGGAGATTTAAACGTAAAGAACGCTTGCATGAGGGATGGTAAATGTAAAAATCATTATCCTCAGCAGTTCAATGAGCAAACGATACAAGGTCAAGATTGCTACCCTATATACAGAAGAATAAAAGATGGTCCAATAGTTAGTGTGTGTAATGCAACTTTAGATAATAGATGGGTTGTTCCCTATAATCCATATCTTCTGCAGAGGTACGACTGTCATATTAATGTTGAGATATGTTCAGGGTTGTCAGCAGTCAAGTACCTTTATAAATATATTTACAAAGGGCATAATCGAGCCACAGTTTACTTATCAAACATTGATGGTGATGACATTATTGATGAAATAAAAGACTATCAGGAGGCAAGGTGGGTATCACCACATGAAGCAATGTGGAGAATTTTTTAGTTCAATTTAAATGAGATACATCCTTCTGTTATCAACCTTCAATTGCATCTTCCTAATAAACATATGGTATGGTATTGGGAAAAACATAATCTTGAATATGTAGTTCGTTCCGATGGTATATCACAAACAATGTTAACCGAATTCTTCCATCTAAATTCCACGTGCGAAAAATCTAGAGCTTTTCTGTATAGAGAAATCCCAAAGCATTTTGTGTGGAACAAGCAAACTAAGCGCTGGACTGCTAGAAAAGCGAAAGAGGTAATCGGGAGAGTCAACGCAGCTAACCCTTCTAAAGGAGAATGGTACTAATTGAAAGTGTTATTAAACCACGTGCGTGGACCAACATCATATGCCGATCTATTAATTGTTAACGGGGAGAAATGTCCGACATTTAAAGAATCAGCACAAATAAGGGGTCTTCTTGAAAGCGATAACAACATTTTAGAATGTCTTAACGACGTCGTGTGCTTCCAAATGCCAACGGCACTTCGCCGGCTTTTCGCTACTTTACTGGTTTATTGTGAGCCCAGCAATGTCAGAAAATTATGGGATGACTATGTTGATGTAATGTCAGAAGATTTTCCATGCACAAGTACTTCCTCTGCACGTTATCGAGCCAATGAAGCTCTTAAGAGTATAGATGGCTACTTAATAAGCATGGGGCGAAGTGTAAAATAATTCAACCTGCCAAATATAGTGTCCCGTGATGTATGTAATCACAGTTCTACCAAAGAGTTTGATGATGAATATTCCATTGTTACGCTTTCTGAAGATTACAATGCTGTGGCGACTCTAAACGCTGAACAAAAGAATGCATATGATATGATAATGGAACGTGTTCTCTCAAACAAACCCGACATCTTCTTCATTGATTGCCCGGGTGGAACTGGAAAAACATATCTATATCGTGCAATACTAGCAAAGGTCAGGTCCCAAAAAAAGATAGCTCTTGCAACTGCTTCTTTAGGAGTCACATCTTCGATTTTACCTGGTGGCAGGACCGCACATTCGAGATTTAAAATTCCAATATTAGCAAACGAGTCCGTAGTTTGCAAAATTTCAAAGCAAAGTTCAATAGTAGAGTCAATGCGTAAAACAAGTGTCATTATTTGGGATGAAGCACCAATGGCTAAACGTTATGCAATTGAGGCAGTTGACAGGACTCTCCAAGATCTCCTTAGTACTACAGAACCTTTTGGAGGAAAAGTAGCAGTCTTTGGTGGAGACTTTCGACAAGTATTGCCTGTTGTACCTCGAGGGACCCGGACTGAAACAATTGGAGTAAGTTTTGCAGATTTTCTACTACGTGTTGGTAATGGGGAAGAACCAATTCTGGTGGACAACATGATCAAGTTGCCAGACGAGATGGTAATAAAATCTACAAATGAGGAGGATTTAGAAAAAGAATTGATAAATGCTGTTTTCCCCCATCTCCTCGAAAATGCACACTCGGCGGAATATATTACAAATTGAGCAATTTTGGCAACCAAAAATGATTTCGTTGACAAATTGAACGAGAATCTCATTGAACAATTCCCAGGAGAACCCACTATGTATTATAGCTTTGACAAAGCTACTGATGATACGGGGACCTATTACCAAGAAGATTTCCTTAATTCATTGGCTCCAAATGGCCTCTTGCCACATAAGTTAACGTTGAAAGTCGATTGTCTTATAATGTTGCTGAGAAATTTGGATCCGACAAATGGATTGTGTAATGGTACCAGGCTCATCTGTTGTGGAACAAAGGCTAATGTGATCAATGCAAAAATCAGCCATGGACAACATATTGGAAAACAAGTACTGATTCCAAGAATACCCCTATGCCCGATAATGAATGAAGCTACGCTTTTCCATTTTACACGAAAAACAGTTTCCAATCCGGTTGAGTTTTGCAATAACAATAAATAAGGCACAGGGCCAAACAATTCCTTATGTTGGAGTTTATCTACCTGAGTACGTGTTCTCCCATGGACAATTATATGTCGCACTATCTAGAGGAACTTCAATGTCAACTACTAAAGTACTTGTTAAGAAGGATCAAACAAACATTAGAGGTGATACATACACTAAAAATGTTGTCTATGAGGAGGTTCTCCAGTCTAAAAGGTAAAGATACACCCACATTAATATCCATGCCTTCCCATTCCAAAATTATTTTGCATTGTTCGAAAGGTAAAGATACCCCACATTCGCTACCAATTATTACAATATTTAAATCTTTCACTCACAATTTTATTCTTTTAAAAACATAAAAAAATATTAACTTCAATTTAATTTACTGTTGATGTATATATATATTTTTTCATTTCTATTTTGATACTCGATCATTCTTATTTCACAATTTTATTTTTAATTTTTATTTTCTTTAACCTTAATTCTTTTTTCTTTTAATCATGCATAAAAAATCATGAAAATGAAGAAAGGTCACGAAGAAAGGTCACCAAAGCTTTGACTTAATAAATTCACTTGTTAGTTTAAAAACAGAATCAACAATAAAAGTAGTTGTACTTCTAAGAGTAATCGAGGAATACACATCAGGAACAATGTTGAAAGTAGTTCTGATGGATGATGATGTAAGTATACCATTGGCTATTTCTGTTAGTTTCATTAAATGCATCTATATTTGTATGACAACATTGTTATTTAATGATCTTATTAATCCATTTACACATCTTTTTTACTCTTTCAGGGAATACAAATTCAAGGTGTCTTATTTAACGAGCTCGTCACCAAATTCAGTGATTCACTATTGCTTCACAAGACGTACAGAATTTCTATTGTAACTGTAAAAGACGTCAATCCTATATATAGGAGTGTGCATAAGGAGTATTAATTGAAGTTTCTTAATAACACCTCAATTGAAGTTGAAGAGCTTGAAGTAGTAAGCTTAGAAACAATAAACTTTAATTTTATGGACTTCAAGGAGCTGAACAAGTACACTGATGTATAAGAAAATATGGATTAGTTTTTGTTTAATTCTCAACTCTCCATATATATGTTCTCTCTTGTACATATATAAAATTAAAATTAAAATTTTTTATTTTTAATTTTATTTTTAATCTGCCTAGATGCTTTGGGAATTGTTATTGAGGTATCTCCTACATTAAACATATGTAAGAAGAACAACAAAGGCACAACAAAAAGTGGGAAGTCATTATAATGGATATGAGGTATGTCATTACTATATTACATATATGATCATAATTATGACAAAATAATATAATGACTAAAGTAATTAATCTTTATTACAGTTCAAGGACAACTACTTTGACTTTATCGGAGGATCTTGCTGAGAATGAAGGAAACTTTATCATGAAACTAATACAAGAAAAACATATGATCACAGTTACAATTGTGGCAATTAACACCTACAAAGGTAAATTATTATACAAATTGATATTATTTACATTATATATTATTAAGTAAATCTATAATAACAAACTTTTACAAATAATAATGTTATATTCCAGGTTTGTCTCTTCAAACGCAAAAAGGATCTACATTGCAAATCAATATGGATATTGAAAGTGTCAAAGCATTAAGACATTGGTTCATTATTTATTCCAACTTCTTTTACATTATATATATATTCATAAAGCTACATGTAATCTTTTTCTTTAAGCATGTTCATATATAACTAAACATATATGCCAGATGATATTTGTTTTTATATTTTTATATTGCAGACTTCTTGGTGCAAAATATACACTATTTGTAGAAATAGAACATGTTTTTCTGTTTTATTTATTTAATTATTTTACAAAATAATTTATATGTGGACAGGTCCAAAAAGAACATAAATAACAAAGATATAAGAAGTTTGATTTCCAGTACAAAAGATCAAAAATTCAATAGTACTGAAAAAGTCAAACTTCAAGACATAATAGGAAAATCTACAATGTCCTTTGAGGTATTAAATTTCAGTATATTTCTTAATCTTTCTTAATTGTGTATCACATTTTTATATTCAATTTATATATTGAGAAGTTATATTTTGTTGCACAACCTGCAGAAAACAAATTACTGTTTCGAAGCAACAATTGAAAATGTTGTTAATGATCGCGAACCGTGGTACGACGCCTATGAGAAATGCAACAAGAAAATAAAAGTTGAAAAAGATAGAGTATACTGTACTCGATGCAACACAACAGACCCAAAATGCATTCAAAAGTATTATTATACCCTAAAACCTTATTATTGTATTTATTTCAATGGTTTAATAATATTACAAATACATAATTTTTTGTCTTTACTCATGTGCAGATTCATAATGATAATTAAAGTGCGAAGTATGGAACATATTGCAACACTTGCAACCCTAACAATGTTCACTAATTGCCAAACATTAATAAATTGTTCACTAAATGATTTACTACAATTACAAATTGAGGTAATTTCTCACCCTTATTCATAAAATTTTAATTAAATTAAAAAGAAAATTACTTACTTGAATTTCTCAATAACTATAAATTATATTTCTTCTTCTTGCAGGACATGGATGAATTTAGCAACAAAGTGACAAGCTGTAAAGGGAAATCTTTTCTTTTTCTGGTGAAGATAGACAATACTCAACAACAAGTCGTGAAAACTTATTTTACGGTGGAAGAATTAAAAGAATTGACACTTGACAATGATTCATTTTATGAAGAAATAAGATATGCAAAAAAGATAAAGATTGAGAAATAAATAATTTAGGAATATTTTTATTTTTAAACAGTTATAGTTTTGGATTTTCTAATATATTTTGTTTCTTTTGAGGTGACAATTATTACAATCTAAACATTATTGGTACCCTTTCGGATTTTAGAATATATAGAATTTTTATATAGTATTTATTTATGAATATTTTGTAAATTATAAAATTTTAATTTTCATATATTTTTTAAAATGTTTATAATTTTCAATCATTCATTAATGGAAAACCTTATTTTGTTTCTTTTAAGGTTACAATTATTACTCTCTAAACATTGTTTATATGAATACTTTTATTTTCAAAGAGTTATAGTTTAGGAATTCATTGAGATGACAATTAATACACTCTAAATATTGTTGATAAAAATTCATTTAATATCCGACAATATCATACAACGAATATATTGATAAGTTACAAAACATTCAACACGTGCATCGCACGTGCATTTTACTAGTATGTATGTATATATATATATATATATATATATATATATATATATATATATATATAATACTACTGTTGGAACCACCTCACATACAAGACTAACTTTACTCATTCTTCGTTCTATCAAATCTTAACCTAGCCAAAGAACGAAGGAAGACCAAAGAGAAAAACTCATTTTCTCTGTCGTCTCCTTCTTTTTTTGATCTTCTCTTCTAATCTTCTTAGCTCTCTTCTTTTGTTCTTCTCTACCGTCTCCTTTTCCACAGCACTATTAATATCTTCATCATTTGTTAACCTAAGTTAACCCTAGGCTGCAACAACGACACATTCATCGTCTAGATCTATACCGCTTCCGGTGAGTTCACAAAGTTTATTCTCTTCTCTTATTTTGATTTAAATGTGTTGTAGTTTTTTGGTTAAATGTTGAAGTTTGTTATTTGTTTTCTTAAAAAAAAAAATTCCAATAATTTTGACTCTTTTTTCTTCTTCTTAAAATTCCTTTCTGTTTACTTTGTTTCATCATAGCTATCCTTGAATTCATTTCTTTTATTTTGTTTTCTTTAATTTTTTTTCCAATAATTTCATCACTTGATTATTTATTCTTATTAAAACGAGATATGTAATTGGAATATAAATCTGTAGCTTTGTTCCATCAGTAACTAATTAATTGTCTTAGTGAGTTATTGTTATTTTAATCAAAATTTTATATTCTTGTAGATGTGACTACGGTTTGAGGAGTTTCATGGAGTTAAACACCTATTATACATCTAAATTGGTTTAATTTATGTTTTATTATACTGCCTTGTAAGTGAATATGAAATTGGTAAAATTAGACTATTTAGGAAAATCTCAGTTCGCAGATTGGATCCGATCCTATCCGTCATTTCACGGATCTAATCCAATCCGATCCGTGGGCTAACGAATTGGTGGCGGATTCAGAATCTCCCAATCCGTTATGAGCGGATCGGATTATGATGCCTAATCCGATCCAATCTGTGGCCACCGCTACTTAAAATTTTACTCCATTTTCAGTGATACTTACTGTTTTGAGTGATTTAAATTGCGTTATCAAACGCGCTTATTCAAATAAGCACTTAATCAGTTCAAAATTAAATGCTTACTTCATTTTTTTACAATTAAATAATAATAATAAATAATGATAATAGTAGTTATGAAATATTTTATATTAATTAATTAACTTTTCAAAAAATATCGATCCACATATCCTATATTTATATTGTTTTATATAGAATTTATTAGTGGAAACTGAAATTAGGGGGGAAAAAAAAAAGGAAGGAAGAAAGAAAGAAAGAAAGAAAATTAACAATTCCTTAGTAATGATAATTTTACCTTTTTGAAAGGTTTGATAATCATATACAAACTGAAATAAGGTTGAATTTTATATAGAATTTTAGAGTACAAACGAAATTTAAGAAAATATATCATGTAAGATAGACATTATATAGAATTCTAGAGTGGCTTTTGAATTAGTTGGGCCAAACATTGCACTGGAAATTAGTAGCTCTATAAGTAAGAGCCCATCCACTTACTACATAAACAACTAAGTTACAGTGCCTTGGAATCCATATCAAGAATGATGTTGCAATAACAGTTGAATATCATGTAAGATAGCCATGGACTAAGGATATACATATCTAAGCAGAAATCACAGCTTCATCTGTGTCTATGCATGTAGAGGCACTTTAAGCAAAATCGGGCACACCGAATAGAGTGTGTGTGAATCAGATAATATCTAAATGAGTTTTACGTAGATTAAGACATGAGACATAACTGGTCGCAACCACTCCATGAGCATCGTATATAGATAACAGTAGACACCACATGGGCCTTGGCCTAGTCGACTAGTGAGATCTTCTTTGACAAAGTTAAAAGTTGAAATTTTCAATGTAAATTAAGGTTTTCTAAAAATACCAAGGCCTAGTATTATCAGACTCTTAATTTTCAAATAGAGGATGGAGGTTCGAACTTTAGTAGAAGCATGTATGTGTGAGTATTAACTTAAAAATATATATATATATCAACGTCCATTCAGTGATTTGGATGTTTAAAGAGTAAAGAAAAGAAATAAGTGAGTGGAGAAGAAAAAAAAAGTATTTTTAATTTGTTAAATCTCAATTCTATGAAGGAAACGAAAATTAGAGAAATAAAAAATTGAAATAGTAAAAGAAGAGAAATAAATGTATATATATTCCAGTGGTGAAGAAAAAATAAATGTTTAATTTGTTAAATCTCAATTTTAAGAAGGGAAAAATAAAAAATATGACAGCTGTGGGATTTGAACCCACGCCCTTTCGGACCAGAGCCTAAATCTGGCGCCTTAGACCACTCGGCCAAACTGTCCCTCTTGGTCTATGGAAGTTGATAATATTATTATTATATTTATTAAGCCCGTTCAATTGGGCCCATAGTTGTATTCCTTTCATTAAAGTAATTGAGCCCATTACTCTTATAAGTTACTTATTTATTTAATTTTTTGGTCCAACCTCAAAATGAGAACAACTATGAACCAACAAATACATTCCCATCAATGGCTACAGAGACAACCATAAGGGCCTAACAACATTCCATATTTTCCACTTGCTCATATATATACCAAAGCTGAATTGTCATTGCTCCTCCTCCTTTTTTTGTTTATTTTATTTATTTTTATTTTTTGTTACGATTAAGAATACAGGTGCAACATGATCCGGACATGGCAAATCTCAAATTGTTTTTATTCATATATATTTTAATAAGAATTTTTACTCGTTTCATCCATATAATCATCAATAAAATAACTAATTTGGAGCTTATAACTAGTTGTTTGTTATTTTTAATTTCTTAAGTTTTATTTATTTTTTAATTAATTCCTAATATATTTTAAATTGCAAAATATATAGAAGAATAGGACAGAACTAATCATTCTTATTCAAACATTCCATCTTGCTCCTATTAGTTTTTTTACTTATTTATTATTATTTTTTCCCTGTTAGAAACAACAAAAACATTCCTCTCAATGGTTACAGACAATCACGAGGGCCAAACATTCCATAGCAAAACCCCCATCTTATTTTTATTTTATTTTTTTATTTTCCTCTTTTTAATTTTTCATTTAGTATATATAAGTCATTTCATCAATTAGGTCTACATATATATGCTGCAAAGAATTGTAGTTAGTTTAGTATCCACTCATTAATTTCCCCAAGTTGACTAATAAATTTAATAATCCAAGTTGACCACGCTCCATTGAGCAGCACATCACGGATGATCATGGACCAATGAAGGAAGGTCAAATCCCAATTGGTCAAAATTTCTAGATGCTCATGCTGGTCAAACTCCACTCTACACACACATATGTGTGGATATATGCGTGACTGAACCCTTCAACGACATTCCACATGACAGCAGAGAAAGAGATGAAAATGGCAATATGAAGTGCTCAACAAAAGTACTACATATGCATCAGATAGGCCAACAAAGAAATGCCAAATCCCAACTGGTCAAAATTTCTAGAAGCTGACTATTACTTAATGCCTTTCACTCTGCACGCACAAATATGCGCGTGTATGTGTGACTACACGCACAAATGCGTGTATATATGTGTGAGTGAAGCTTTCAACAAGGTTTCATATGAAAGTATAGAAAGATCAAAATGGCAACATGCTTTACAAAAAAGCCACTAATTAGCATATGCATCATTTTTTCTTGCTTTTTATCTCATGCCTATGGAAGGGTCAATCCCAACTTTCAAGTTCGAGCTGTTAACTTGGGAGGGTGGCTTGTCACAGAAGGATGGATTAAGCCATCTCTATTTGATGCCATCCCCAACAAAGATTTCTTGGTAATTTGTACATTCACACACACACACACACACACACAAACACACAGTCATTACTACATGTCTTTGTGAACTTTGTTTCATTCTTATATTCACACACATACTCTATTATTCAATACTGTCTCAACTTATTAGGATGGAGCCGGGCTGCAATTCAAGTCAGTAACAGTTGGGAAGTATCTCTGCGCGGAGTTGGGTGGAGGAACAATCATAGTAGCCAACAGAACACAAGCTTCAGGCTGGGAAACATTTAAGGTAATGAATTTACATTGTTATGAATCAAATTCTCATTCAATTTGTAGCTTGGTTTAAAATCATTTTAATTTGTGTGTGTGTGTGTGTAGTTGTGGAGGATCAATGAGACCACTTTTCAGTTTAGAGTGTTTAACAATCAATTTGTGGGACTTGACACTACTACTGCTGGAAATGGGATTGATGTAGTAGCTGTTGCAGACACTCCTGGTGCATCTGAAACTTTTGAGATCGTGAGAAAATCCGATGACTTGAGCCGTGTTCGGATCAAAGCACCCAATGGATTCTTCTTGCAGGTGATTTAATCATTTCTTATCTTGTTTTGCAATGATACAGTATTATTGGTCATCAGCCAAGTTGATCATGACAACCTCTACAAACAAGATATTTTGTATGGTAGTTCAATTGTCATTCCTTTACAGTTAATGCCTATGCAATTTCTTCGTCAGCATTAGCAGGACACGGAGAAACTGAAGATAGACTAGATAGTGATGGCCACCAAAATAAAAATAATTAAAAAAGTTAAAAACATTGGTCTCACTCAACATGACAACATGTCAAGTCTACCAAAAAATAATAATAATCAAATTGGAATGGGCTCTGTTTGGCAATGTAATTTTTTTGAGAATGTTTTGGGAAAATGCACATAGTATTAAGGATTCCAAAAAAATGACAGCATGACATGCTTAGATATGCTAAATGAATTGCCATGGATTTGTAGGTAAAGACAGAGGAGCTTGTAACTGCAGATTTTAAAGGGGATAGCGGATGGAGAGACGATGACCCATCCGTTTTTCTGATGACAACAACCGGGTCACCACGAGGCGAGTTTCAAGTGACTAATGGTTATGGTCCAGCCAAGGCAACACGAGTTATGAGGGTAAGGTGGAGGTTGCAAGAAAAAACAAGTTTTGTGGATTACTATTGTTAGTCTTGTGAAATTCCAAAATATTGGGGTTTAACAAATTATAATTATAATTTTTTTTTTTTTTTGGTCAATTGATTACAGTAATAAATAAATTTCTCATTCTTATGATTAATAGGAGCATTGGAGCACTTTCATAGTTGAAGATGACTTCAAGTTCATATCAAGCAATGGATTGAATGCTGTGAGAATACCTGTTGGGTGGTGGATAGCCAGTGATCCGACACCTCCACCGCCTTACGTTGGAGGATCTTTGCAAGCCTTAGACAATGCCTTCTTATGGGCACAGTATGTACTTCTCACCGCACATAAATTTATTAGTTGAGAGGTTTTCGTGCAAGATTAGCCCTACTCATCATGTCTTTGAATTAAAATTTAAGTCGGATTTGACTTGGGCCATTCAATGTGATACTTGCAATGGCTTAGGTTAATAGGGACTTGTCTCAATTTAGGTTGGATTTATGTATCTGATATGGTGGTGTTTTGGCTGCAGAAAATATGGTGTCAATGTTATTATTGATCTACATGCTGCACCGGCTTCTCAAAACGGCTACGAGCACAGCTCTTCCAGAGATGGTTCTCAGGAATGGGGAAAGACTGACCAGAACATACAACAGACAGTTGATGTAATAGACTTCTTAACTGCAAGGTATACTCATTCTGTCACAGGACTTACATGATGCATTTAGGACAATATAACACATAAAAAATAAGTAATTTGTTGAATAATGTATGTGAATAGGTATGCTAAGAATCCAAGCCTTTACGCGGTTGAGCTGATCAACGAGCCACTGTCACCAGGAGCATCTTTAGAGAGCCTAAACAAGTACTACAGCGCTGGTTATGAAGCTGTCCGGAAGCACTCCTCCACGGCTTATGTGGTGTTTTCAAACCGGTTAGGAGAACATGATCCGAAAGAGTTCTTCCCTCTTGTCAGTGGCTTAAAGGGATCAGTCATAGACATCCATTACTACAACCTCTTTTCTGATATTTTCAACAGCATGACTGTCCAACAAAACATTGATTTCATCTACACAAACCGGTCATCGCAGTTGAGTCAAGTTACCACATCAAATGGCCCTCTGATTTTTGTCGGTAAGTCACAATGTCTTCTTCAAATAGATCACTAGAACTTCCAATTTTTCCTCATTTTTTTTTTTTTTTTTTTAATTTTTTTGCACAACTGAAAACATTATTGTAATTTGCAGGGGAATGGGTAGCGGAGTGGCAAATTCAAGGGGCAACAAAAGAGGATTACCAAAAATTTGCAAAGGCTCAATTAGAAGTGTATGGTCGTGCCTCATTTGGATGGGCTTACTGGGCTCTCAAGAATGTGAACAACCATTGGAGTCTGAAATGGATGATCGAAAATGGTTACATCAAGCTTTAGATTCTGTATGTTATGGTTCTTAGTCTCTCTATCCCTCGTCGCACCCTTTCTGTATTCACTGACAATGTCACCTTGGCTATTAATTCAGTCGGCTAATTACTTGTTTAATAAAGATGATCATATGCTTAAATCTGTTCAGTCATCGGCAATAAATGGTCATGATTCGAAATGTATTCATGCCATACTGATATGAATAGAGTTGTTCCTTTGTAATAGCAGATTGTGTTATAATGCAGATATATGACTGTAAACTATGTATCAATAAGCTCCCTTGTTATATATATTATGAACAACCTCATTGAGCCAAAAGTAAGCTCTTTTTCACAGAAACAAATAGAACTTCAATACAAGCACTATATATTTAATTCAAAGCTAAGCATAAGATTTTATTTCAATTTGTCCTAAATGATTGCAGTCAAGTCTTCCAAGGCCAAGGAATTCATTTGAGTACCCTTAACTTCTATGTAATGGACTACTGGAAGTCAATTGCAGTATTATCATATAAATATATAGAGAGGCAAAAAGGAACCAAAGATTGTAGTCTAGTGGTACTTTATTGTCTTCCAAAATAAAAGGTCGAGGGTTCGAGTACCTATAAGGTCACGTGGTTCTCGTCTTCCAAAATAGAAGGTCAAGGGTTTTAATACCCGTAGGGTCATGTGGTTGTGTAAGTGTGTTTCACAATTATATTGAATTTGCTCACATGACATCATTAAGAAGAGAAAGGGGGTTAATAACCTCTCATAAGAACAGAACCCAATAGTGTATTTCTTTTTTACCTTTTTGTACTATTTTCTTCTTTAACAATCAATATTATGAAGTTTCTGTTATTGTACAAAAGTGGAAAAACTAAATCAATATTGAATTTTACTAATGGATGGAACTCAAGTGCAATATAATTTTATAAAGCTTAATAGACTTGGATATAAATTACCTCTGTTTGGGAAACATTGAAATAGCTTCTAGTTAGTATTTTATTTCTCACTAAAACATATGGTTGTTTCTTGTTAAAATATGAGCCAACCTTTATCTGCAGTTGAAGATTGATGAGTCTAGCTTCTTTGAGAGTTCTAACACATTTCCCTGGAGGTCAAGGAGGAAATACAGTCACAGTTTAAAACACAGCCTGCAGAACTTTTGGATTGTGTGAACAAAGAGGATGGTCCACAATGTGGAGATATTGTTTGCTTTATGCTCTTTCAACGTTTACGAGTTTCAAAACGTGTCTACATATGTGGGAGACATTCTTTATAAGTGATAACAACTTCTCTCCCGTCTCAATGGGAAAATTTGTAAGTATGTCTAATCAACAAATCCCAGTACCATGCAACAATGATTGTGAAAGGGCACCAATTGAATAGACCATCACCATTTAAATATTTGTTAGGTCCCTCTGATCAGTCCCTTGCAAACTTGGAAAATCATTATTGTCGATGGCTTACAGGTGAATTTGAAATTTTGAATGATGATGGTCAAGATAAGAAACTCACCATGATATGCTATAGCAGCCAACAACAACACACCATTCTGATTTGTGGTTTTGAGGTGTGTGGATTATCACTTTTCTTAAGTTGTTATCTGTCCCTCGATCAACCTGATTTTGTCAAAAGGTTTTAGGGATAGAGTAATAATACGGAGTTCGAGTGTCGGACTTATCCGACTAAATTTATGTGAGTAAGAGACAACATCATGATAATATTAACATATTTAATGACGTTATGATAACGCCATTCTCCGCTCACAAAAATCAATAGGATATATCGAACTACTTATCACTATTCTTAGAGATCTAAACACCTCCAAGGATACAACAATATCAGCGAAATTTATGATGAGTAGTAATACTAAAGAATTCCTTGAAAGTCAATGTATATTTTGATAGTAGAGAATAATAAAGAAAGATGGAAAGAGAAAAAAATGTGTATCAAATAATGAAGTATGAATTATGAGAGGCTATATGATTAAATTGATAAATGTCACTATTAAATTTTAAAGGGATAATTTTATTTACTTCTCTTGAGGTTAGGTGTAATTACAGACAATAACCTTTAAGTTTCAAAAATTACACTGACCTCCCTCCAAATTGATGGACATTTTCATGTTCAATGAATAAAACACTCTCTAATATTTTATCAATATATATCACATAAATAATATTTTATAAACACTGTGCAACACCGAAGGCAAATCGCGGAGGCAGATTCTGGGAGGACCAATCAAAGGCTGCGATACCCAATCTAGGGTTGATTGCCGTCTAAAGGCCATAATATAGGGATCTGAGGCTGATCAAGAGCAGGTAGCGGCGAAGGTGACGAAGGCTTGTCGGCATGAACGTCGGAGGAGGAGGAAGAGGAGAAAGAGGCGGAGGAGAAGAAATCGTCATTCGAAGGGGGGGTTCAGAAGTGATGAAGATGAGTTTAGAAGAACATTATCATCAGCAACTGCGCAAGATATAACAGCTATAATTGTGGAATTCGTGTTTGGAGAATCTGATTCATTGCAAATGTTTTAGCGTTAGGATTATTTGCTTTTTCGATTTATTCGTCGTTCTGAAACTCATCGATTTGATGAAGGAAATCGGTGCCGGAACTGAAGCACGCATGAACTGAGGTAAACCGAGAATAATTAAAACTCACCCACAATTTGGGTTTATAGTTAGGTGCTGAAGATTTCCCAAGTAGTCGATGCTAAGGATGGGGAAGGCGGCGAGGCATGCCGGACGGCGGAGAGGAATTCTAAGTAGCAATGAGGGAGCTGACGAAGGGCAGAAGGTGTGGTGGGCCCAGAGGATGAAGCCGCCGTTACTGGGGTAGGCGATGGCGATCTCGGCAGTGATAAGGAAATATATATATGTTTGGTTATTCAATTCATTTTGCAGATGCGCCCAAATTTGACTTTTTTTTTTTTTCTTTTTTCTTTTTTCTTTTTTCTTTTTTCTTTTTTTCTCTCTCTCTCTTAATAATTTATGAAATCAGAGAAATAGAAACTAAATCAGGAAGAGGGGGTTAGTAGATCAGTCACGGCCATAGCTGATTCGCCTAGCCTTTTTACGTTTCTGGATATATATATATATATATATATATATATATATATATATATACACGCCTCCAAGCCCTTCTTTCGCACGTCTGACGTTTCTGCTTTTCTTCTCTATCAACCCTTGAATTTTATACATACACACACATATATATATATATATATTTAAACATAATATTGAAAAGGTTAAATAACCAATGAGATATTGAAATATGAGAATATGCAAGTCAATAATAAATAAACAACAGAGCATGAATAATTTTGAAGAACTTTGATTGAAACATGGAACTTACAACTTTGATCTTTGAATACAATACTTTGTTCTGAGCTAAGCTCATTGGAAGAAGTAAAACTAAAAACTTAAACTTAAAAATTACAATTTGAACGGAGATCTTTTGAAATGAAACTAACAACTAAACTTGAAACGAGTCTGCCTTCAATGTCTTGAGGAGCTGCTATTTATAGGGCCCCGAGGAGCTTTGGGGAGCCTTAGATTCCTTGGGAATAAGGATGCAGTTGGAGGCCACGTGCAAAGGCTGAATTGAGGTGATGGCTGCTGAATGATGCTGGAGGCCATGTGCAAAGCCTGAAAGGCTGAATTGAGATGATGGCTACTGACTTGCCTTGGATTATTTTTTCTGAAAAGCTTGTTTGTCACGAGCACCAAAAGGTGCTAGAAGCCTGAAAATAGAGAACTGTTGAATAAAATTTTTTGACTGTACTTGTTATATTATTTTTTTTGGTCGCTATGCAGCGGCATTGAATGACCAAAGTCAGAAACGTTTTTGAAAGGAAATGATGATTCTTTGAAAATTTTGTTACTGGAGCTATTGGGTGAAAATACCAAAACAGTCATCTTCATTAGGTTGGGCCAGATCTGTTTGGGAGCCATGGAATGAACCTGAGCCTTCACTTCTGTTAGAGCCCATTTTTTAGAAGGCTATGGGATTGACTTGGGCTAAAGCTTCCATAAGGAAGGCTTCATACTCATCTTGGGATTTTGCTGAAGAAAGTTTTGCTTGGGTCTGGCTTTTGGACAGGAGGAAAGCTGAAGACTCTCCTAAGCCAGAAAATGAAATTGCAGGATGCTTTGAGAACCATTCTGAAATTGCTTCTGGAGTAACATCTTTGATGGAGAATTGGTTCCACCATTTAACTTTGAAAATTCTTCCTAGAAGAGGAAGATTAGAAGGGGAATTGAGGATTTGTAATTGCCATAGAACTATCCATGACAATGCGAAATTTGCAAAAAATAAGAATGATTTGGGAAATTCCGAAAGCTCAGGAGGAGCTTGGAATTTTTCATTGAAGATTGAAAATCTCTTGGATACAGAATCAGGGATAATTTCTTTGCAGGGACCAAACATGTGCCACTAGTCAATGAACCATCTGGGGACATTCAGATTGAAATTCTTTCGGAAAAGGATAAACCAGGAATGGCTATAATCCTGATTTTGGAAATAAAAAGTATTGTACCAGACACCCTGATAATCCCAGTAATTGAAAGTTTAAGGATTGCGAGGCTAAGAAAATTACCTCGGAGCATTGATGTTTTTACCCCAGGCTGCTGGCGTAAGGACTTTTTGAATTGTACAAGTGGTGTGAGAAATGAAAGACTCATCACCTGGTTTTGAATGAGTTCGGATTTTGATGGAATCAGTGTCCACTAAAATAAACTCATAAAAATTTTATACTTTTCGAAAATCTGAAGTAGGATATTCGAAACCTTTGACAAAGTGATTTTGAGAAAGTAAAATTGGGTTTTGGTTAAAAAGTTCTTTTTCAACCACACAAATGGTTGATGAATTTGGTTTTTGAAAATAACGAGATTTTTTGAGAGTGGGATTATTAACCACCACTTGTTGTGTAATAGATCTTGAGGAAATTTGTTTGTCTGATGTTGAAGAAATTGTAGCATAAGATTTTTGAAGAGGAGGGAAAACTGGTTGTTGGGATTGTAAGTATGTTTGGATGTGGTCATACTGGATTGGGGACATGTTTATGACATGTTGGGGAATTTTGGTTAGAGCTGAAAACTGGTTTGTATTCAGTGGAGATGGACTAGCACACATAACTTCTTCATCTTCCTCGACTTTATTATACCAGGTTAATTTGGAAGGGGTTTGGGAAGAGGATGATTGTGCATAGGCATCTTTAGTTTTGTGGGGTTTTGTGCTTGCAA